TCAGAAGACAGAGAGCACAGAATCCTGTAATAAGCAACTAGTTCTGAGATCTTAAAAGACTAAGGGCTGTATAAAAGTTATTAATTGTCAATTAAGTCTCACCTAATTATTCTAGAAAATTATTCTAGGAAAAATATTCTAGGCTAAAATAAAGTATTAAATAAAAATAAATTCTACAGTTTATCTGAATAAGAATGGTAATTACTTTATAAGACAAATTGAAATATCTGTTTAATTAAGCGATTGGCATGAAATACCCAAAGGATAGTTCAACTGTTATTTCAGGTTTTGAAAAGTTGACATATATCATGATACCATGGCAGTAGCAAATCATTACTATTTGTGTCATACTGTGAAGGAATGGTCATTCGGGATTCTCCTGAAAATTGTCTCACAAAGTCTAAGAATCACATGTGGTGTCCTTACTCTCATAATCCTTGAACTGAATTTGCTTCAAAAATCTGGAATATACTAATGGTGTAAATACTCTCATAAGTATTTACTTTTACCGTCACTTAGAGGCATCTGTATCTCTACTTTAGGCTATTTAGGTTATTACATCAACCTGAACTTTAAAGTGGATTGAGAGTGAACTGTCTCATTCCTTGTGATATTAAGCAATAAATTGCTTTCATTGCTGTTACATGTGCATTCATTCAAACACACAGAGCAATTTGTGCAAGTATAACTATTCTACAAAAATTTCATCATCTGAGAAAATCATGTTACGGTCCTCTCTGAAAGTTCAACAAGGAGCCGCATCCATGCATGTTTCAATTTCCCACAACTACATGAGAGGAGAATTACTGAGATTTTCCTTGACAGCATAGAGAAGATATATGCCTAGGTTTCCATGTTCCAAACAAATTACTTGGCCTCCTGTTGAAGGATGGCTTCTTTCTTCAAACATCATTGTCTTCACTTGTGCTACCAGAGTATGGCAAAGGAGAGCTCACCCATGTTCTTGACTATGGGCATGGTAGGTACACCTCAGGTGGTAGTTCTACAAGTAGCCTCTGCTTCAGGACTTAAATCTAAAGTAAATTTTGGAACTAAAGTATTCTGAAAGGGTGAAACTCTTAAAGACATTTATAAAAGAGAAGAAGCATAATCTTCAAGGTCAAATGGTTATGAATGGGAGTAACCCCTTCAAGCCTGCTAGCGGTACATAGAAACATCCCTCACTCTCATCCCTCTCTCTCTCTCTGTCACACACACACACACACACACACACACACACACACACACACATATTACATACATAGGACAATTTTAACAGTTAACTTCTTTTTCTTAATGATTCTCAAGCATTTTTTAAAGTTTATTTATTTATTTTGAGAGAGACAGAGACAGCATGAGTGGAGGAGGAGCAGAGAGAGAGGGAGAGGGAGAGAGGGAGAGAGAGGGAGAGAGAGAATCCCAAGCAGACTCTAGGCTGTCAGCTTGGAGTCCAATGCAGTGCTCAAAGTCACGAAATCAAAAGATTGTGACCCGAGCCAAAACCAAGAGTTGGACACTTAAGTGACTCTGCCACGCAGGCGCCCCTTCTTCTTGTGCTTCTTATATAATGAAAGCATATTATCAAAAATAGCAACTCACTATTATATATATATATGTAACTTATATCATATTATATAATTATATATATAACATATATATATAACCTTATAGCTATAACTAAAGGCAAAAGTCATCTATCACTTGCATTATTTTCAAATTTTTATAACTCAAATAACTCTACTAATTTATAGAGAACTGGTGTGATGCATTAATAATAATCTGGTGCTGTTGGGTGTTACGTGATTCCCTATATATGATGTTATTTACTTTACTAACCTGATGAATCAGGTACTAACTGCATTCTCTACATGAGGAATCAGAGACCTGAAAAGTTAAATCATATATCAAAAGTTTTACAGCATGAAAGTAATAGCATCTGTTAACTCAAACCTACATGTTCCTGACACCACAGTGCTTGCTTATCTCTGTGCCATGCCACCCCTCCTACACATGCACGTGGACCTGTATCTTTGAGGACCAGGTTCCACAGTCATCAGACAAGAGAAAAAGTAGACATTTAAAATTACCCTTGGGGTGCCTGGGTGGCTCAATAAGTTAAGCTTCCGACTCTTGATTTTGGCTCAAATCACAATCTCATGATTCGTGAGACTGAGATTCTCTCCCTCCCTCTCTCTTTGCCCCTCCCCTGCTCACTTGTGCGTGCGCTCTCTCTCTCTCAAACTAAATAAACTTAAAAATATTAAAATTACCCTTAAAATTCCCTAAGCATGTATACTTTCAAGAAGTTCCAATAAAGGAAATTTTTCTGCTCCTTTTTATGGTTCTGAATTAGAATATATTGGTGTTTCTTTGAATATCAGAGGAGGCAGTTGGATTACTGTAGAGATAGTGGCATATGAATATGTATCTCTATCTACTGAAGTCACATTTGGGGTAGCAAGATGCTCATATTACGAGGCCACATAAGTGAACACAGCTGAAGAAGCAATGGAATCATGTTTCCCCACTCAAGTTTTCTCTAAGCAATGTATACATTGGTGAGTAAAGGTACTACATGCCACTTAAATTGCAATTCTTCCCCCTTCTCTGTTTTTTTTTCTTTAGGGGTGGGGCAGGGGTGTCTGTTAAGCACATGAGTGAATTCACTTAAATTAATTGCACAAATCAACGGTTTTGATTAAGTTTACTGTAAGTACATAATGAATATTATAATACTTATAGGAAGAAAACTAATCTGCAAGACATTACCTAAACCCTCAGTGTTTTCTTGCAATTCTGCAGCTGGCTTTTTAGTTACTCTCATCCCCAATTCAAAGGCTCTCCGATTGAAGGATCTCATCTGAAATGGCTGCTGAGGATACAATCTTTATTTCTGAGCTGGGTTATTTCAATGTATGTTTAGCTAAAGTTATGAGCTGGGAGTTGATACCATATTATCATAAAGGCTTTTCCTTTTTGCAGTGTCATTATACAGCAGACTCTGATATTATATCTTAAGTTTTCACCAAGTGACACTAGGAATAAACAACCATATGAAATTCACCACTGACCTGTCTAGAAAATATAGCTCTTTATAAAAGATCCAGAGCAAAAATTTGTCTTGTTCCTGTCCCTTACCGGACAATCAACATGATTTTGACCTTATGAACACTGTAAATTTTGTAACAAAATGAGTAGTGCTCTTTGCTTTGTCCAGCACAAAAGATCAGCATTAAATTTGAGACCCACTTGCAGCAATAACGTAGAATAAGACGGTATCTGAACTTTATCTCTGAGTTTCATCTTACTATTTTACCCATATTTTCTCTTTAACTTGTCTTGTCTATTGGCTTTTACACTCATATTTTAGTTATTGCTCTAAATTGGCTTCTAGCATTTGGGTCAAAGCAGAAGTCAAAGAAACAAAGAAAGAAATAAAAATACAATTATCAAAACTGATTAGGTATTTCTTTGGAAATGCACGAAGTCAATTATTAATGACTCCTACAAATCATGGCATGCATGATACAAGAACACAGGATTTCTTTCCTAATCAGAAAATTTCTAAATGAATTATATTAAGTACGTTTCCCTTGGAAACACAGCAGCTGGGACAGCAGTAGTGAATGAGACGGACATGATCCCCTAGTAGAGTCTAGGGGGCAAGATAGAAAACATCACCACCAACAAATTATACTACCATGTAACAAGTGCTGTGGGAAAAGACACTAGAAATACAAGGTCAAGCAAATAGAACCAAGGCAATTTGGGGAATGTTTATATTAACCTAGAAATGGCATTTAGGATGAGACCTATGAACGATCAAAAGTTATCTAGTCAAAGGTACTAAGACTAAGAATATTTCAGTCAGAAGGAAAAGTAATGCTTCCAGTGAATTATTCAAATTAGAGCTAATGATAATGTACTGACTTAAAATCATGGGATTTACACAAGCTCTGGCCTCCTTTCAGTAGCCATGTGCAGATACATGCCAATGCTTTACATTTCTGGGTATATCTGTAGTCTGAGTCAAATATTCAAAACCATGTCTTCAGGATTTATGACATCTTTCCTTATGAAAAGGACCTCTGTTTCTATCACCTTGTTTGTTTGTTTGCTTTTATGATTAGTTAACTACTCCAGTCAATAACAATTTAGATTAGATGAAATACTCACAACCAAATGGAGGACCTAACATTAGCATTAAGAACTTACAGGAACATCAACGCATGTGTTTTTTTAAATATATGTTTACTACATCCAATATTTCCATTAGGGGAAGTCTAAATATTTATTGCCAGAATTTCTACATGAAAGAATTTTATCTCATTTTTCAAAATCTGCCCAATGAAAACCAGCTGGCCAAACAGCTGAACCCTTTACTTCCATTTTGAGATAAATAAACATAAAAGAATCTACTACAAGCACTACTTAATTGAACCATTTTTCTCAAAATAATCTAAAGTTCCAAAGATTATTTGTCTAAACACAGGCTATAGCCTAGATAATTTATTTAACTTTATTTTGGACAAGTAATTCAGAGCTATCACTGTCATTTCTCTTCAAAGCAAAGGGCCACCATGACCAGGGTCTCATAATTCTAAATAATTCTATGCATTTTGGAGAGGGGCAGAGAGGAAGGGTATGTGTGGAGAGGCACATTTAGCAATACTGTCTTAGTCTTCTGTATGCAGGCTGCAATCCACACTGTTATTCATTACACAGAAATAAGATACCAAATTTAGTGCACAGCATCTTTTCTCCACTTCTGCTACTAATACTTTCAAGTACTTCAGTTTCACACTTTTGAAAATATTCTCTTCAAAAATGGCAAAGTGTTATAAATGAAGTCTTTACAAATTCACTTAACAGGCAGTAGGGAATGTGAGAGTAGGGCTATGGTGATTATGTACAGTGTGTGTTTAGTAAAGATTGAGAAGAACACTACAAGCCACAGGTATGTGAAGAGGGTCATCTTGACCATTGCAATCTCTTCCTACCTGCCTCTTTGGAAATCTGCGTGAAGGATTCCACACCTTTCTCTCCGTAACTTCCTTCAGATGCAAGGGTAGACACATAATTCCATCCTAGGGCCTTTACAATGTCCACCATAGCCTGAGCTTGGAAGGAGTCAGGTGGGACCACACGAGAGAAGAAGTCGTAGCGCCTGTCATCACTTAACTCAGGTGCCGTTGATGCGTAACTGATCTGGGGGATCTGGAAAGAAAAGAAAGCACCACATGAGAGAGCACACCACCCAGATGTGAGAGATTTATTTATACTTATGACCACTGACTCACAATACAGGGCTTGCTCAACGTCCAAAGACGTTGCACCCGGTAACTGTAAACCACCTAAATGCAACCAATCACCTTCTGACAGCACAAAAGGCGGTACTTTTGTGCTTTGGCCTTTTGTTTCCTCCTCTGTAGAAGAGGGAATGAGGATGGCATGGAAATCACAGGAGTCATGGTAGTTAGGAAAACAACTTTGTAAACATTCTCACAAACATTCAGAATCATGCTTTGCTTCTTATAAACTATTAGAAACCATCATCACCACCACAACAGAAACACAATCACCTAACTGGAGTTTGCATAGGATCGGTGTAGTTGACAAAGCCCATGAATATTGGTAGATGTCATCAGATGTCTAACGTTGAGTACCAATCACCTGTGAGGAAATGTCTAAGCAAGCTGCATGCATTATTTCATGGACTCTTCAAAAAATGTTATAAAGTAGCTAAATAACACCCTTAGAACCAGGCTGGAGGCTCTCTGCCACAAGGCCTTTACATCAGTGGTCCCTGCACTTTGGAGGGCCTTCTTTAAAGTTCTCTAAGCTCCTCTTTGGGTGATGGTAGAGGGTTGGCATTCCTGCCTGCATGGAGCCTGCATGGGGGTCTGATTCCCATTTTTCCCACTTAAAGAATCCTCTGGCCCTCTACCTTACACAGGATTAACCAGATGCCCCAAGGAGCTCCAGAACTTATAAGGATCATCCTAGGGCCCCATAGCAGGGACCGAGTTCCAGGAGGGTAGCCTAACATGCAGATTGCTCCCCATACCTGGTATAGTATTTTTTCTTAGGATTACATGAGATAAGGCTACCTAAGTAGGCCTGACACTCTGATTTTAGTTCAGTCAAATTACGTATAAATAAAGAGGCCCTGTAAAAAAATGTTTGCTTGGGATTCCAAATACCCAAGGGGAAGCCCTGAAATAACAATCAGTTAGGACCCTGTCCTAACCTCAGGACCTCTCACTAATGACCATTACAAGCTCTGTCCCCTCATTCTTCTAACACTAGCATGCAATAGGCTAACACTAGCATGCATTAGTCCACCTATAAAAATGAGCAACTTCACAAAATTCTGCCTGCATTCTCTCCAAGGACTCACCCTTGCTTTATCATAAGCATTTCTCAAGTATCTAAAGGCCAGTTTTGATCTTTCTTCAAGCCAAGCCCAATAGTCAACTCTGCTCCAAAGATGCCAAAGCTACACTCAAGGTGATTGTTTGAGCCCTCAAAAAATTATACTCAATATTAATCTATTCCTAAACCAAACAGTGTTGTTTAAAGCTGGTTACCACCTCTGAAAGCTCATTCCTCTACCAATTTTCCTAGGTCTGCATTACTGTTAAGTCATATGGCCTTGGCAGTAGATGACCCACCATGCAGTCCACCCTTGATGTACTTTTTCTTCATGACCATTGGGGGCACTGTCACTGATCCAAAGCCTCAAATCAGTGTGAGAAAGCCTCAGTCTCCAGATGAGGAGCAACATCCTGAGACAGGGGTAGTGAGGTACAGTGGAAATAAAATGGGCTTTAGTATTGACAAGATCTAGAATCAAAGCCTGATGTTTCTTTTCATGAGTGTTTACCTTGGTGAAGTTAGTTTACTTCTTAATGAGCTATCATTAATAAAAGTTTGTTTTGAGGGATAAGAATAATGATTATACATTGCTTAGCATGATGACTGGGACAGACTGGTTGATTAATACATGGGGGCAATGATAATTCAAACAGAGAATGGTGTGTTTCCTAAGTTAACACATTCCCCTCATTTGACTTCCCAAGTTCTCTGTGACACATTATCACATTCCCCTCATTGTCCTAAGGGAAGGACATAGTTTTACACATTCCTATCATTATCACTTTAGAAATGATCTCTGCTATTTACCTAACTCTTTCTTACTGCCAGCTATGTTCTATAAGTTTATATGCATGAACGTATCCAACCATCAGTAAATATTCTATACTATTATTACCTCATTTTACATAAGAGGAAATTGAAACTTGGAAGTAGAATAATATGACCTTGTGTTAAGTCACAAAGTTGTAAGACAGAGCAGCACCCACACCTGGGAGTGCCTCTGTGTGAACTTGTGAACTCTTAACTACCATACTTTGCTGAATCGCTGGTAAAACATTTTAATAAGAAGAATAAGACAAAGAAGGGAAGTAGATTACTAGAGTTCAGGACAATTTCTGTCCACAGAACTGACTACAGAGCCACTGAAAGTTTTTTAGTGATCATTCTTAGACTGTTATTCAAACATTTTATGTAAACGTCTTGTTGAAGCTTATACAAATATCTCAGTAGAATGAGCTCCCTATGTTTCATTTATAGTCCCAAGCTTACAAATTGTAGGTAGGAAAACATCAACTGAATAAGAACTCTAGGCAGAAAAAAAGGAAATAGATTAAGGAATGGACAAAGAGAGAGGGAGAGAGGTGGGGGTTGGGAGAGAGAGACTTTTTCATATAAGAAATAAAAAGGAAAGAAGCCAAGCATGTCAATTCATTTCCATCAGTTTCAACTTGTGAAAATGTAAAAGCTTCGTGCTGTTGCACAGATGTCTTTCCTGCCAAAATCCCTTTCTACCTTTGAAACAGCGCTAATGAAGATACATCCAGTCCTCTACTTGAATTTGCATTTATGTAGCTGCTGTAAAATACCAGAATTATGGAGCACTCCCAATGCTAGTGCATTTTCTAAACTGTGCCCAAATTCAGTAATGAAAATCCTGGTGAAACAGATTGCTTCCCTCACTACCTGCACCCATTGAAAGTGGTCACTATATGTGGTCTAGTTCTTCATAATAAATAAGATGCTCCCAAGTTAAGACTCATATAGTCCTTTAGGATCATGCAAACATTTTATATACAGTGTACTTATTTCTACATTATGCATATGCTAGAATAAGGAATGAAAGAACAAATGGGTTTCATTTCTGTGATAAAAATATAGCTGCATAAGGACATGCCTCCTCAAAGTAAGAGATGAAGGACTGCAAGAATTTATGTAACCTATGAAATATGATCTATGCATTTATTTAAGTATTATGTTGTATATTTACTTATTTTCAAAAGAATGTTTAAGCACACAAAGTAATTATTTTGAAGTATGTGTTATAACTGGTACCTACAACTGGCCAAATTTTATTAGTCGTCTTCAGTTATTGACGTTCACACTCTCCTTGATACCTTAGCGCTACTTTTTTTTTCTGTTACTGAAACCCTCCCCTCTTGCCAATCTCCTACGGAAATGCAGAATTGATCTCTTGATGAAGAAAATTTAGTGTAGTGACACTTTGGCTATAGAAAGTAGGTATTTCATCTCTTGTTGAAACTTCCTTTCTCTGATTAAAAAGAACATGGGGGGGGGGTCACCTGGGTGGCTCTGTTGGTTAAGCATCTGACTCTTGATTTCAGCTCAGGTCATGATCTCATAGTTTCTGAGTTCAAGCCCCACATCTGGCTCCAAGTGAGAGAACAGAGCCCGCTGGGGATTCTCTCCCTCTCTCTCTCTCTCTGCCCCTTCCCTGTTTGCATGAGTGCTCTCTCTCTCAGAATAAACTTTAAAAAAGCCTCTAAAAAAAAAAAAAACTAAAGCACTTTTCATCTGAATCAGATGACTAAATTTTCATCTTATTTTATTATTCTCTGCTCTTCATAAAAACCTATCACACAAACATGGTTTTCACTAATGATGAGTCCAAAATAGGAATGAAAACATCTACAATCCATTGTAGTTGTTTAGAATGAGTTTGTGCTTTTTCTTAGAAAACAAAAAGAAGAAATAACTTTAATACCTTCATCCCTGTTAACAATTTGTCTCTCATTTTTGTGTGTGCATTTGGGTACGGATATACATATTACTAACTATAAAAATGTGGGTCTTAATCTCTTCTTCCCTCCCCCTGACCCTTTCATTTGTCTTTCTCTCTCTTTTTCATTGTAGAATATTCTGCTCATCTAAACCTAACATTCATTGTTAAATTTTAAAACACTTACTAAGTTTTTGCTATTAGAAGAAAAAAGAATCTTCAAAGCTAATTCAATTCTCTGTAGATATCCCTGAATATTTTGTTAGAATATTGTTCAAGCCCCTACCCCCACCAATGTGACAGAAATATTTAGGGAAATACGTTTAAATATTTCCCTATATTGAAATTATTTGGAATCATTATAGATGGTAGAGCAGCAGTCTATACTTATGGCAAAGACTATCTCTTGTCACATCTTAACTTTTTTTAAGTTTATTTAGTGTGTGTGTGTGTGTGTGAGAGAGAGACAGAGAGAGAGAGAGAGAGACAGAGACAGACAGAGACAGAGAGAGAGAGAACCAAGTAAGCTCCACGCTGTCAAAACAGAGCCCAATGCAGGGCTTGATCTCATAAACCATGAGATCTTGACCAGAGCTGAAATCAAGAGTTGGACATTTAACCAACTGAGCCATCTGGGTACCCCACAGCTTAAATCCTTAAATATCCTTGGATCACCAGGGTGTATTCTCTACTTATTCCATTTTTCTATCTTCCAAGTCTTAGGACAGTGTTTTACTATTTTAGTTCTCATAATCTTAGAGTGTTTAAGGCTATATTAGTTGGAATGTATCCTCTCTTCATAACTGTTCTTTTATAAATTACCATGGGCAATCACACTGTTTAGTTTTCCAGCTGAAATTTTAGCATATTTTTTTCAAGTTTATAATAAAGTTCCATTAAGATTTTGATGAGAATTGCATTATATTTATAAATTAATGTGGGAAGAATTGATATATTTATAATATTTTATTTTCCCTTATGGGAAAATAGCTATTTTCATCCATTTTGTTGTTCATTCTTTTCTATTAGTAAAGCTTTATGACTGTCTCCATGTAGGCCTTGCACACTGTTAACTTTATTTCTAGATAATTAATATTAACTT